AACTGAACCATACTCATATGTGTTCTTAGTGGAATCAAGATTCAAATGACTTACAAGAGTTCGAAAGATCACAAACAATTAATTTTCAGTTTCAAAATAAGTGTTTATTTAATTTAAAATAAGTGTTATTTTAAAAATATATGACAATAGTTAATATGTTTATCCAATTATAACCTTATACTCCATCTTCTTAATACTCTCTTAAGCTTTATCACATGTAGTAGTAGCTTACTAAGCCCATCTGAAAAGGCTTGCATTTGCATGTGTATTGGATTAATTCACAGTATATATGTACAAAGTCTACTTTGTCGAACATCTTTTTTGCTACCAAACATGAAAAAGTCTTATCACACTTTGTTTTTTGTTTTTGATACTACTGTTTTCAACTTTGAAAAATAAACTTTCTTTTTACACTTACAATAACTTAATCCACAAAGAAAAAAAATATATATTTAATGTAATCTTATAAATGAAAGAATTTTATACACTCAAACCTTTTTTTTTAAAATCAGAGATATTGAAACACTTGGTCCCGTTGAGTTTGCATGCAAATGTCAGAAAAACATTAATTAAACGGTTTAAATCCTCCGGTCGTAATTACAATCAATTACATAAACAAAGATTTAAGAAAATATTATTTCAAATTTATATTCCATAACCTCCTTTTTTGACCTCATATAACAGCCAACGCAATAAGAAGTAGTTGATTTAAGGTTTATAGAATTGGTACTAACTGTGTATGTATATATATATATATACTAGATAAGGTGTTCGCATCGAATATATGCAATTTTTATCTTAATTTATGTGACACGAATAAAATTTAGAGAGCCGATTAAATTTTTTGTAGGTATTATTTAAAAAGATATTTAAGTTGTAAATTCATCTTAATTTATAGTACTTTTTATGTCATTTTCAAATAATATATGTTACGAAAAAATTACTTGGATTGATACCTTTTAATAAATAATTATCGATCTTAGTGATATTTTTTTTTATTACCACTTATAAAATATATAACAATATAATGTCAACTCTTCAATATGTATTAAAAGTGAATTATGTATGCAATATATATGTATTATAATTATTTTTTAAAAATATATTATGTTTGTCTGGTAAGAAATTGACACAATGTATTATAATATATTAAAATATATGATAAATGTATTATTCACCAATAAAACTAACGTTATATGTGAATAATAAATTGATCTTTATAATATGTAATAAAATTATATTTTAAATAAATTAAAAGTGATTAAGTAAAAAAATTGTTATTAGCATAAATGTGAGTAAATGATTTTTAATATGGTATATTGGTGTAGGTTTCCAATGTATAGCCCACATGTATAAAAATGTCCATGAAAAAAAAAGGTACAATTGAAAAACCAATCCAAGTACAATTCTTTTTCAAGCTTGGAAAATTGAAAATACCATAAATGCCCCTGGCATGTAATAGTACTAAAATAATGTAATTTGACCTTATATTATATTGTATACAGTTATTAATTAAATATGCTATTAATAAATTGGTGGATTAATTGTTTTCTTTTTCTTTACTTTGGAAGAATAGATTGAAGTATCTTAGTACTAAAATAATGTAAATTGGCCTTATATTATATTGTATATACAATTATAAGTTAAATACACTATAAATAAATTTAATTTTTTTTCCTCCTTTACTTTGGAAGAATAGATTGAAGTAATCTAAAGTAATTTGTTCGTTTGATGTTATTTGTTAATTTTTAGAGTTAAATTATAAAAATCTTGATTAATATTTTAAGATGTATTTTTTATCATATTAATATGTAAAAAATTATAATTTATTGTACTTTTCATATAGTTTTAAAATATCTAATTATATTATTTAACATATTAAATTAATATGATTAAATTTACCTTTGAAAATTAATTAAATTAATTTTTGATAAGTATAACATGACAAATATTTCGATACCAGTAATACTTAGCACGTGGATAGGCCCCACATTGTAAAAGTAAAACATATGGACAGATTAATATCCTTATGGCTGTTTTGTCAAATGAAAAGAGAGTACATTTATGAGAGGTTTTAATCAAAGTAAGCCATTATATAAAGTCATTCACCAAAATAATATGTTTTTCTAAAATTTTACAAAACTAATATAAACGTATTTCACAGTAACGTTTTATGATATATTTTCTTTTTTAAAAGTTGATGGCGTCAGATTGATATACGTTACTCACAGTAACGTTTTAAAAGTAAAGCGTTACTTACAGTAACGTATATCAACCTAATGCTGTTAGTTTTTAAAAAATAAAATATACCCTAAAACGTTACCGTGAAATACGTTTATACTAGTTTTGTAAAATTTTAGAAAAATGTATTACTTTGGTAAATTGTTTTATATAATGACTTAGTTTGGTTAAAAATTCCATTTATCATCACAAAACATTATAGCAATGCAAAACTGGCCGGACAATATTGGAGTAACAGTACTTTATACTATAACATGAGTAAAATCTATATATAAATTAAAACAATTTGGTTACTATCTGACTTTGCTTCTATTATGAAGCATGATCAGGATAAAACAATGGGGAAACAAAAAGAAAAGAATGAATGATCTTGTATTATCGACAACATCTACTAAAAAATTAAGTTAAAGATCGACTATTTGAATATTCACGTCTCCAACCTATATTGTTTGTGAATAATACTGGTGATCTGTAGTAGTACGAGTATCCTGACTGGGAGGAGAATGAACCCTGCTCCGACCAACAAAATTCTTCTCCATGACCATTGTTTTACTGGCGGTGCCTCTACTTCCGGTACCGGGGTCCGGTGTTGGATTAGGAACAGGATTATACAAAGACGATAACCAAATATATTTGTTGTCATCTCTTTTTTCTAAAAGAATATTCCTAGTGCCTTCTCCATGTGGCACAGAAATGATTAATAAGAAAAAAATAGCATAAATTTGGGGTTTCATGTTGATCGATGATAGTGGACAAAGGAAAAAAGAAATTGCAGATGAGAGAAAATGGATAGAGTTTTTGCAAAAATATACATATATTTATATGCATGAAATTGGTATACGTATAAACTTTTATATATGTTTCTATTTTGACGAGCTGTGCATACTTTTTCAGTCATGGAAAGGAAGCTTGACTGTTGAGAGTTTTAGAATTGAACCAGTCATGACCCCTTTATAACGGAGAAAATTAATTCAGACCATTAGAACATGACAAGGAATTTTATTTTTCAAAAAAGGTGTGTTTCATACTAACGAATTTATTTATTTATAATTAAATAAAAAGATTTTTTTACTTAAAACTTTAATATAATCAAGTATGGAAAATATTAAACTCAAGAGGTAAGTGTATATAAAATCAACACAAACACTAGTCAGGTAGAAGTGGAGGTGGTATATAGGGGTAGGGGTGAGCTGAACGTTTAGTTGGATTTAGAATTTTAGTTCAATATTTTTGACTTTCAAGGTTCTTCATTATGATTGTAGCCATCATAGTTTTAATGTTATGAATTTCATGTCTATTAATGTTGCAATTTTTGTAAATTTTAGGCATAAAACTCTGAAGGATTAACCTAGATTGTAGTCTATATCCAACTGATTAAATTAATTTTTTTTTATAAAAAAAAAAATCCTCATTTACCATGAAAATCATTTTTTGTTTCTATTTTTTTAAAAAAAAATATATTTTAACCAATCAATCGATTTTTTAGAAAAACCGTGTTCTTCTCATGCCAATCAAAACATGTAGTATTTGTGTTTGTTTTGGTTGTTACGGTTTTTTTTCTCGAAGAACACATTTTTAAGCGAAAGGGAAAAGGTTAGGAAAACTAATTAGTACTCCTACAAATTTCATTAGTCTATGCAAGTAACTTTTCTTCACGTGAGTTTTTAATATTATGAATTTTATCAGAAATGGAATTTAATATATGTATATGTACGTCTAGATACATATATCTCATATGTATGGGTGTGAATTATGTGTAATTGCTTTAAATATACATAGTGTTCAAGTAGTTTCACATGTATTTGAATTTTTTGCTGGTCTCTCTCCCTATATATTTGTCTTTCAAAATGTATGTAGTATCTTATACATATATGTCTTAGTTGTGATTTAGATGTATATGAGATACATAGACTATCTCGCTGGAGTCTCTCCTTCTCTTGCTTGTTTCTCTCTATTCGAGTGTATCTAGTACCAAAAAATACATATATTTAAGTGTATAAGACTTGAAATTTGATATGAAACTATTAATTAAATAATTATTTTAAATTATTAAAAAAAGAGTATATTATAGGTTTAACAAACATAAAAATTATATTTGTATGTAATAACTACAGTTTGCATAATTGCGCTCCATAACAAATTATATATTTGCTATAAATATTAATCTATATATTTTGCTACACATATACATAAAAATTTGTATTTATATATTTCGATATACTTATACATAAAAACCTATATATGTATATGTAACAGTATTTTTGTATATATAATTTTTTGTTGTGATTCCCAGTCGTGTATGTATGTATATATGTAACAGTATTTTTGTATACAATACAAATTTCTCTGTCGGTTTATACAAACACAAATTATATATTGTATTTTGTATGATATGTGTTTGTATAAAGCGAGAAAGACAAAAGAGAACTGGTAGGGAAAGATCTGTATTAGTACATATATTTTCTCTCGCTTTATTCAAACAAAAACATAATTTATACATGTGTTTGTATAAAGGGAGAGAGAAAGTGACGAATTAATGACAAGTGTTTGTAAGAATTATAATTAAATAAAACTGTGATTATAACATTTAATTTAAATTAATAATTTGCTATATTTATATAATTTTTTCCTAAAAAAAGAATTAGTAAATATGAGAATATATACGTAATTGTATCACAAAAAGGTTGTAAAAAGTATTGTATTTATGCAAATTAAACAAGTGACGACTCCATGCACGCACAAGGAGAAGGAAGAGAGAGCCACAAAAAGCACTCGAAAATAGGCGAAGATTTCGAAAATTCCCATTTCTCAGCGTACAGTTTCTCGTCACGATGATTGTCGCATCGATTCATCGATCATTCCATGAAATCAAAATCAATATCTCTTACGCCGATCAATTAATTAAATACCTTCTCCGTCCATCACTTTATTATTACCGTTCCGACACCGGCGATTTTCGATTTTCTGGAATTTTCACAATTTATGCGACCACATAACTTCATTTCCTTTTTTGCTCAATGGAAATGCAAAATTAATTAGCTCTTTCTCGGATATAAATGGTGAGTCTAACTTTATTTTATGTTACATTTTGTTTGTCATCATCCTTTTATTGGAAAAAATATTCATAGATTAATGAATTAAATTAGAGGTTTGTAGGATCCATTGATCAGATGGCAGAGCTGATATTTTGAGTTTTATGGGTTCTGGAATCTAGAAAACACAGCTTATTTATAAAGGGCTTGACACAAAGCTAGTTGGGTTCTAGCTCTGCCCCGGATTAAGATGTAGTAATTGTATAATATTCATTTGAATTCAGCATCTGAGAATGTAATCTTTTCTGTATGGTTTTAGATTAAGTGGATATTTTGTTGGATTGTATATATACTGAATCCCAGCTACTTTTGGATTGAGAGACAGTAGTTATTTGTTGACAACAGGTTATAGTGATTATGTATGTGGACAATAACTTAAACCAATTATTTGAAGTAGTTTGAAGTCTATGAGTCGAAAGTCTCAACTGCAATGAAAGGCGTGTGTTTGTATGTGTGCACAAGAGAGAGATAGAGGGAGAGCCATAAATCAGTGAATATCATGTGGTTGCTCGGGAGAAGGGAGCATCCTTCTCCCCTCTGTAGAAGACTAATTTATGTTTGTCTAGGAAACTAATATAGGCATGTTACATTATGTTAGAATGCTGCAGTAGCATCGCCCCGGTGACTGATCAACAGAACAATTATACTACAGAAAGAGTAATATTAACTTGTTTGATGTCAGAAAATGTGAACCCTGAAAAGTTGATGGAGAATTATTAACCAATGAAGTTCTGTTGGGTGCGGAAAGGGGCCTATGTTGAGTAAGGGGTGAGAAGGTGCTCAGGCTTTTGCTAAGTTAGATGTAGAGAATTTAAAGCAGGACATCTAGTGATGTACTGCATATCTTATGTTCCTGTACTGTTTTTTAGACTTTTTGTGTGAATGGAATGCAAGTGAATGTTTACAAATACTATTGTAAAGTTCGCATCATGTTACTTAATACATAGGAGCATAACTTGAAACATTCTGGAGCTACAAAGTAGTTATTGAACCCTTAACATTTAGCATTTTACGACACTTACTGATTTTATGTCTGCATATCAGTTTACATGTGGCATCGTCCTATATTTTTTTAGATCGTGCGAATTATATTCTTTTATTATGAGGATGTGAATTATATATTTTTTTCCCTACAGTTAAAAAGAATCTTAATTATCTATGCAGGGCATTCCAGTAAATATTACTGTAGGTTCTCATGTGTGGATTGAGGACCCATCAGTTGCTTGGATTGATGCACAAGTATCGGAGGTTAATGGACAGGAAGTTCAGGTTCAGACATCTGATGGGAGGACGGTACGACAAACTCTTTTACATTGAAAAGTATTCATTCATTAAATTACTGCTGCTTTATTCATTTTCCCATAATAACATTTAGTATTTACGCTGGACTCAGTTGTGTGATCAAGCTCTAGCTTAACGTAAAAACTGGTTTCCTATAGCCTAATTGATTAGATTCTAAAATGACTTGAATTACAGTATTCTGATGATGAAAATTCACAATGTCTTTCAAATACTAAGAATATAATGGATCTAATTTCTATTCTCATTTGAGTTGTTAGTTTTATATTTATATAATACTCACCTGGTCTTTTTTTATGCACGTTATGTAGTTTGCAACTGAATAGTTTTTGTGGCTATCATACCTATATGTATCCATTATCTTCCTTCTATGTTGCTTGGACTCTTCAAAAATGTTGACGTGTGCGCGTCGGATCCTTCTAAAGTAGTGCATTTTTGGAGGATCCGATTCGGGTGCGGCAACAATTTTGGAGAGTCCGAGCGACTTAGTCTTCCTTCTGCATTTTAACAGTATTTTCATTTATCCTTCTTTCAACGAATCTTGGCACGTTATTGTAACTATTCTTATCATATTCTAATGGTAAAAGAAAGATTCACTGCATTTTTTCTAATTTACTGCTATCTAACTATATTTTCTGCTAAGCCACATTGATGCCATCCCCAATTGAAAATAGACATCTTTAATTTCGTCTAGGTTGTAGCAACTTTATCAAAAACTCACCCCAAGGATGAAGATGCTCCAGATGGAGGAGTGGATGACATGACTGAACTTTCATATTTGCATGAGCCTGGAGTCTTACATAATTTGGCAACAAGATATCAACTCAACGAAATCTATGTAAGCTTATAGTCCAATCCTCAAAACTTTATTTAATTTATGTTCAGTTTGGTGAATGAAAGGACTGAAATTGCAGCTACAGATTGCTTTGTCATCATATTAATCATACCCTGAAATCTTGGCAGACTTATACTGGAAGTATTCTTATAGCCATTAATCCGTTCCAAAAGTTGCCTGATTTATATGATGGTCGCATGATGGCAAAATACAAAGGAGTACAACTCGGCAAACTAAGTCCTCATGTCTTTGCTATAGCTGACGCTGCTTACAGGTACTCCTGTATACCATTTCTCCTCCACATCATTTTTCTCATGATAAATAATGCTTTGTTACCAAAATCTTGAGGATGAATCAGGGCGATGATCAACGAGGGTAAAAGCAATTCTATACTGGTTAGTGGTGAAAGTGGTGCTGGTAAGACTGAAACTACGAAAATGCTTATGCGATATCTTGCCTATTTAGGCGGCCATAAGGGCACTCAGAAACGGACTGTGGAACAGCAAGTACTGGAGGTAAGCTAAATGCTTGGGTTACTGCATTAAATTCTTGTACTTCCTTTTTTTACATGGAAAGTACTTAGGAACTTGTATGCTTAAATTCTGCACAATTTCAGCTATACAGACTTAGTAGTGTTCATGTCAGTGATGGAACCCAAACAGAATGGAATAGATACAAAGGATTCATATGACTAACACTTACTAGTTAGGGTTGATCACTTGATTGATTGTTGGAGATATGTATGCGTGGAAAAGAAATGAAGTATCATATTCACATAAAAAGTGGAGTTTAACTTTTTTTTTTTTTTATGACAATGGAAACCTGCAGCCGCTACCTTTGGGTGAGCACAGGGTAAATCCCCAGCTACTATGCAATAGCTCGCAAACTACATTAAAGTGGAGTTTAATGTGGTATTAAATTTAAAAAAAGGATGTGGTTCAAAAATTGGTACTGTAATTTTTCAAAGGAAATTTAACGATTCTATTACTTAAATGAAAAGTATATAGAATACTTATAAAAAAGCTTATAGAGTATAAAAAAGAATCTGCGGAGTTGATTCGTCAATAAATGTACATTTGGTTTTGATGATATTTATGGTAGTTTCCTTGATTGGAAGTTCGTAGAGGGGTCAATGTGTATGTGAAAATTTCATAGTATTTGGAAGGCTTTCACATCCGTTTGAATCAAATAATTTCCTAAAGGCTATGTTTCATGTCTATACAGACTAAATCAAGTGGACAGGGCCTCAAACTGATAGTTCCTTTGTCTATTTCTCTTAGAGCCTTCTCTATTTGCTATAGCCTATATTATTCTTTTAAAGTCTTTTCTATTGGCTATGGCCTATATTATTCTTTTAACTCATTATTGTTATATTTCCAGTCAAATCCAGTACTTGAAGCATTTGGCAATGCCAAAACAGTTAGAAATAACAATTCAAGGTAATACTGCTCTATGCATGCTTCAATAAGAAAATAGACTCATAATTGCTTCAACACTCAGTTGAGATTTTTCCCATCCTAAATCTACTTAGAATCTGTTGTTTACAGTCGTTTCGGTAAATTTGTGGAGATTCAGTTTGACAAGAATGGAAGAATATCTGGAGCAGCTATTAGAACGTATCTTCTTGAAAGATCTCGAGTTTGCCAAGTTTCAGACCCTGAACGGAACTATCACTGTTTCTACCTTCTATGTGCAGCACCACAGGAGGTAATTTTCACCAGTGTTATTGCTTTTTACATCTTTCATCAGTCCGAGTTAATTTGATTGTCACCATATCCTTTTGAGATTTTCCTAACCTTAACAGGAGATCAAAAGGTACAAGTTGGGGGATCCCAAATCATTTCGCTATCTCAACCAATCAAATTGCTATGAACTAGTAGGTGTTAATGATGCCCATGACTATCTTGAGATAAGGAGGGCAATGGATATTGTTGGAATTAGCGAGAAAGAGCAGGTAATTCTCTAGTTGTTTTTCTCTGTCCTGCAATTACCCTTTCTGATTCGAATAAGCTACGCTGTTTCTTCTTCAGGAAGCAATTTTTAGTGTTGTGGCTTCTGTTCTTCATCTTGGTAATATAGAATTCGAAAAGGGCAATGAAGTTGATTCATCAGTTGTCAAAGATGACAAATCTAGGTTTCATCTTCAAACTACTGCAGAGCTTCTGATGTATGTTCTGCCGTTTATATTTATCTATCTTCCTTTGCTCTATCTTGCTTGAGTTTTTTTATTTGATTAGTACTTCTATCAGGTGTGATGTTACTTCACTGGAGGATGCCCTATTAAGACGTGTAATGGTCACTCCTGAAGAAGTTATAAAGAGAAGTCTTGATCCTGAAGCTGCAGCAGTAAGCAGAGATGGATTAGCTAAAACACTATATTCTCGCTTATTTGACTGGTATGCTTCGACTGTCACAGGCAGACTACTGTGGTTCTGATCGCTTACATTGTCACTAAAAACACATCCTTCCTACTGTTCACAGGTTGGTAGACAAAATAAATAACTCGATTGGACAAGATCCTCACTCAAAATCTCTAATTGGTGTTCTTGACATTTATGGGTTTGAAAGTTTCAAAAGTAATAGGTAGGCACTGGTGGAAAAACAAAACAACTAGTGAATTCGGTGTCTTGCATCTGACTCTTCTGACTTCTATTTCCAGTTTTGAACAATTCTGCATTAATTATACTAATGAGAAGCTGCAGCAACATTTTAACCAGGTATGCTAGTTGAAATTTTATAGAAGCAGTTCTTTCCATTTTGCTAAGTACAATTCAACTAATGTGAAATCATCTCTTTCCAGCACATGTTCAAGACGGAGCAGGAGGAATACACTAAGGAAGAGATAGACTGGAGCTATATAGAATTCGTGGACAACCAGGATGTTTTAGATCTTATTGAAAAGGTATAGTAAATCTTTTTCTCCTCATATATACAAATATATCATGTTGTGTAGTGTAGTTGTCATATGTATGTTATTCCATTGCTGCATTGAGCAGCGAAGTGCAACTAATGCTATTACTAATAGTTGCCATGGATACTTGTTTCGTCAGATTCTTCTTGGATTCTAGCTTCTGAATACTATTGGACACGCCTGGGTACTAACTCATAAGTCATAGCCTTGAGAATAAGTTTCTTATGTTTAAATGTTAGAAGTTGAATATGATAATATTTCATTATAATCCTATTATAGCTAGAACTCCAAGTAGTTGGTTAATGTTAGAATAAAATTTGTGTTGATGCATATAATATTCATGCAGCAGTTTAAATGGAAAGATTTCCGGTTAAATAATTGTCAAATTAATTATAAATATCAATCAAAGTAACATCTACACTTATAGTTGATTATTTGTTTAATAGCTTAAGTTAAGTTACATGTTGAACTTCTAAGTATCATTTAACTATTGTGAGTGTGCTACTTTTTGGGGTTTCACATTTTTTTCGAAAACTGGTAATTTGTATTCCTCTATGCAGGACACCTCCAAAATGTTATCAACACTAATTGTGAAACCAAAAACTAATTATAGAGATCTGAAAAGTTCTACCAATTGAAGATCTGCTGTTTGTTTGGCCAGTCCACTTAGACCCAAGGACCTTATTCATGCTTTTATTATTAATACAGTCTAAGAGCCCTCTAGTTGACATTTCTTTATCTAAATTCATGTCCATGGCCATTTCACATCTTCCAGATATACATGCTTTCTCTTTGCTTTATTCTTCCTTAATATTGTTTGGAACTCGCCCGGAATTCAGAACAGAGCATCTTTATCATATCCTTTAAGATAGGCAATTAAGAATCTGAAACTAGAACATCTAAGTGAGCTCAGATTCTTAGGAGTACCTCTGATGTTTAATGTGAGTTCATATTCATTAAAAGCACCACACATTTGTTAGCGAGAATTGATTAGCTTGGGTTCATCCATTATCAATACTGCTTTAGAATCGTAACACTTTTTTCAAATCACCGTATCATGTGAAGTTGCATATGCTGAGTTGATTTGTATTGTTGTTTACAGAAACCTGGAGGCATCATTGCTCTTCTTGATGAAGCCTGGTAAGTTATGTAACAATTCATCTGAGCTTCAGTGATAGAGACAAATGTTCTAATTGATGTTTTCTTTGAAATGGAATTTCCAGTATGTTCCCCAAGTCAACTCATGAAACATTCTCACAGAAGCTTTATCAGATATTCAAGACCAACAAACGCTTTGTCAAACCAAAATTGTCCCGCACTGATTTTACCATTTCTCATTATGCTGGAGAGGTAATATGATGTGTGTATTTCCCTTGAACTCTAGACAATTGCTTCTACAGTGGATATGGAGTATTATTACTACTTGTTTTAAATGTTTCCTTTTTATTCCCCACCAGGTTCAATACCAGTCTGATCAGTTTTTAGATAAGAACAAAGACTATGTCGTTCCTGAGCATCAGGATTTGTTAAGTGCTTCTAAATGCCCATTTGTAGTGGGCCTTTTTCCTCCTGTTGCTGAGGAGTCAACTAAATCTTCATCCAAATCTTCCAAGTTCTCATCTATTGGTTCTCGCTTCAAGGTAGTTACGAACTTATATACTTATGAATTTTGGTGATCTATCAATCTACTAAGCATCTATAGAAAATGAGTTTGATTGCCCAAATGAGTCCACTAATATCCTTTCAGTTCCATTTTATTTCATACCAATACTAAATAATTTGTAGTTTTATCCAAATCAGAGTTTTTTTAAACACACTAAAAAGACTTTTGACACTCATCTCATTATTTCAGTTCTTTTTTTTTTTTACATCATGACTAGATTTGTACATCACGTAGAGACATGTCTACATCAGATGTCAAAGTGCAGGGATATGATCGTTCTAATCTTGTCTATTATTGTATCATTGCAATCCACCTTACTTCTGTGATTTTTGACACTCATCCAGTGGATATGATACACTTTAGAGGTCCGACTCCCACTCTCATTAACATTGCTGATCAATAACCATAATATAAATCTTGCCTTATATTTGATAGGTATCATCAGTTTCATATCATTCTCCATTTCAACCACAAGTTTAATTCTATATATTATTTTATCCATTATGTCCTCTTTAGATTTTTGTGATCTAAGAATATGTTTCACCAAAGAACTAACAAACTAGTTCCAAGTCTTTACTTTAAGTATGTGAAAGATTCTAATGTTCCAATTTCATTGTTGCAGTTACAACTCCAATCATTGATGGAAACTCTGAATTCTACAGAACCTCATTACATTAGATGTGTGAAGCCTAACAGTCTTCTGAAACCGGCAATATTTGAGAACATTAACATTATGCAGCAGCTACGTTGTGGTGTGAGTAAATTTCACAGGTTCTTATGTATAAAATTCTTGTTAAGTCTTGAATTATGTGCTTATATTTTGTTGTTTGAAGGGTGTTTTAGAGGCAATTAGAATTAGTTGTGCGGGCTATCCCACGCATAAGACATTCTCTGAGTTTATCAATCGATTTGGTGTTCTTGCTCCAGAGGTGTTCCAAGAGCAGTAAGTACTGGTCTTGTTCTTGATCCCCCCCTTCCCCAAGAAAAAGGAAAGGATCTTGTGGTTTCCTCTATTTCTTTGATTATTAGAAGTTGATTTTCTTATCTTTCCTTTTAACTTGTTTGTGGGCAGGGATGATGAAAAAGTTGTGTGCAAAAAGATATTAGAAAAGATAGGGCTTGCTGGTTATCAGGTTATTTGATGTTTCTCTTGCTATTTTGGAAATCTATTTTATTTGTTGAAAGTTGAGATCAGTAGTATCAAATCATTCACTCTTATGGGTACACATTTATGTGTGCACGCTCATTCATCCAGTGCCTCTTTGTAGTTTAGGGGGAAATTTATATTTCCTTTACTATCATCTTGATGAATGTAAGCCAATCCTTAAAGCTTATATCAAAATTTACCTACCTTGCAAGGCCTGCCTCAGTTAACAAATCACATCTATCAAGCAGCAAGTTCCGATATTTTACTTAAGTTCTTTGTTTTTGTTTGTGTGAGTGGGGTGGGGTGGGGGGATGCAAAAAAGGAAATCATTCTCTTGCACTTCAAGCACGTGTTAAATTGCTCTCAGTTTCAAGAATACTGATACTTTGTGTTTTACTTGCATTGTATGTTATCTTATCTGCTAGATGGTTACATATAGTTGAGCATTGCTAGTGAAATTTCCTAATCTGAGACACTGAGAGCTTTTCTCCCGGTACTAGGCACCGTTGATATCTGTAATTGAAGTTGATGTTTGAAAATTTCTCCACAATACTGTGTGAAATTCTTTCTCCCGTTACTAGCTGCTGATATTCTTTTCTTTCATTCAAAATAACGTCCCAATTTACGCGTCAAGTTATACTTCAGTTAGGGTTGCTACAATTGTTTTGCAGATTGGACAAACAAAGATTTTTTTGAGATCAGGGCAGATGGCAGAGCTAGATGCACACAGAGCACTAAAGCTAACCTCTGCAGTTAAGACAATACAAAAGGAAACTAGATGTCATATTTCTAGGAGAGATTATGCTTCTTTGCAGAAGGTGGCAATTTGCTTACAATCCTTGTGTCGAGGTTTGTCTATCATTATCTCTTTGCCTTTCCTATTGCATATTATGGACTTTGTTTTGAAAGTTGGTGTTTTACTCATGTACTAAGTTTCATTTTTTGTACTTGCTGAGGCATTTTGGTAGCTTAATCATGTAATCTGTTGCTCCCTTCAATTCCTTTACTATCCAGCTAAATGAAAGGAATTCCGGCAAAGGTTTGGGGAAAGTGGAAATTAAAACTTTAAAGAAAATAACGGGAGTCATATTTTGTAGAGATTTACATCCAAGAAAAAGTAACCATCTCATTTTTTGAATTTTATTTTTATGTGGGAAGGGGGAGGGGATTATCAATATACCATTGTGTATATTGATGTATGTTTGATTGTCTTATTACAGATAGTAAAAGACCACGAAACAAATCAACTTTGCTTTCATATCTGTACTATCATCAAATTCTTCTCTAGACGAGCCTAATAAAATTATTAATTGGAACTCCTTAGATACTTCTTGTTCTCAGAATACTTATTGGTTTTGCCTTTCACGGAGTTTCTAACCGTAAATTATATTTTCCATAATCTCCTTCCATCACCATGGTCTAAGGGCTCTTTCAAACGTAATTTGGCAGCTTAGCATCTAACACAATTGCCTGTGTATATTGTCTGAACTATATGATAGTAAAGTAATACCATCACTCAGACATCCTCCTCGTTAGGTGCTTAAACTCAGATCACTTGTGCATGTTTTGTTGTTGTAAAAAATAGCACCATGGAAATAATAGTTATATTTTCTCACCCTCTTTGCACTGAATGACATTTGGAAAACATCAGTCTACCATTCCAATAGGCTGCTCATTTTTCTGCCTTCAATAAATTTATGTGCTCACTCTGCCATATTCTTCAGCAAGGATTGCTGTCAAATCATATGTTGCCTTGAAAAGAGAGGCCGCTTCTCTCAAAATCCAGACAAAGTTGCGTGGACACTTAGCCAGAAAATCCTACACCAAACTTAAATTAGCAGTCATTGCTCTTCAGACTGGAATTCGAGTGGCAGCAGCACGAGCTAAATTCAGATATGAAAAACGAACCAAGGGAGCTCTGATTATACAGGTTAGTTTATTGGGTATTATGTATAGATTCAGAGGTCTTATAAAGTTTGTTCTCAAGTGTTGACAAGATAAGATTTTTGCAGGCCTATGAGCGTCGTCACAAAGTCCATTCATACTACAAGAAACTCATATGGGCATCAATTTTTACACAATGCAGATGGAGGGGAATTGTTGCAAGGAGAGAGCTTCGCAAACTAAAAATGGTAAGTTCTGGATTACTATACTCTTCTATAACCTGTGTCATATGTTTCCGATTTCCTTTGCATAGAAATGGGGTGATGATATGAATGGCCTGGATGATCTATTGTTAGATAGAGCTTGATTACTGAAATGGTATATGGTTCACTTGTTTGTCACTATTATTTACATAACAAGAGTAGATGAAGGGGTTGCTTAATTTTTTCTCTGAAGCTTTTAGTGGAAAGTAAGAAGTATCTGTGAAGATTCTTGTTATTAAACTCTGTAGACAAGTAGTTAGAATTTTAAAAACAGATCAGAAGTACTGATATCCTTTTAATATAGGAACTGTACAAATGGAAGAACATATGTATGTGTCACTTACTTTGGATATATAAGTCACATGCTAATAGTTAGATATTTAAGTGCAAGTAGTTATTAGTGTAAGTGGTCACATCGGGTTAACACAGCTATGCACATTGTAAAACATGCTTTTGAAAAATACCAGGCGTAAAACATGCTTTTGAAAAAGAACCAGGCGTAAGTCATTGGTCTTAGCTAGTGCAGACTCTCAGTTCTTTTCTAGTTCCATTTTTGGTAACATGATTCCCCTAAATTTCCTGCTGTGGGATCGGGATTGGCTTTTTGCACGTGCAATACTGTAGAGTTCATCAAAACTGTTGCTTGCAATTTGATAGGCTTATCTGTTGAATGTTACAAATATATTCCTTAAAATTCTATGGATTTTGCTAATATACATTTCAAATACTTCAGGCTTCAAAAGAAACAGGTGCACTTATAGAGGCAAAGGATAAGCTTGAAAAACAGGTGGAAGAACTTAGATTGCAGTTGCAGATGGAGAAACGTCTAAGGGTGATATACTTGTCCTAAGAAGATAAAATCTTTCTTTTTCCTTGCACTATATTTATAATACATTTTTGAGGATTTTAATTGGAGAGCATTGATAAAATAAGATATTACCATGTATATATCAGTCTTGCCAATCTTAGGATTGTGGGTTACTACGACTTCTCCATTTTGAGAAAGCTGAACTATATGAAACATTCGGCAACTCACAAATAGGAAAATAACTTGCAGATGGACTTGGAAAAGGCAAAGGATCAGGAAATAGCAAAATTGCAGAATTCAATGCGAGACATGCAAAGCAAACTGAGCGAAACAGATACACTACCCATCAGGGAATATGAGGCTGCTCCAAAAGCAGTTGAAGAAGACTCTTTGATTGTTGATAAGAAACCAATTCTTGTGGAGGATGAAGAAATCATTGAATCTTTAACTGCAGAGTTGAAAACTTTAAAGGTATGAACAGTCAGCTGAGGATGATCCCCACAACTTTTCAGCTTCACATTCCTCGCCCTAACCCTAAAATGAGTAGAGAAGATAGAGAAAAATAGATGAAAGCTATCATCTTTTTTCTAGTTAATGTTGATGGTCTCATGCTTATACCTATTGATAGGTGTTATATCAAAAAGAAAAGCAACGCGCTGATGATTCTGAGAGGAAATGTGCTGAAGTTCAAGAATCAAGTAAAGAGAAGTGCCGGAAGTTGGAAGAAACTGAAAGAAAAGTTCAACAACTTCAGGATTCAGTTAACAGGTACCTTTACTCGAATAATTGGTACCAGATTTAGTCCTTTCATCCTGTAACAATATAAATCACGAACTCTTGAGTCAATAAACTTATCAACTGTGAAAATGCTCTTTAAAATATACTTTTTTGGGGTGGGGTGGGGTGAGGGGGATATATCTTTTTTCTTGTTCTTTCTGAACCATTTAAAATTGAAATACAAACTTAAGAGTTATATTTCTGAGTGAAATTACCAGCTGTTCTTTCTAACCATTTCATGTGAGGGGGTTAGATTTCAGAAATTAACTGCAGAAACTAATCAGGACTCTTTTACCTAACTCTAACATCATCTTCTGTTTTTAATTGTACAAACCTCATATGAATTTCTTCATAAGATTAATAGGTAAATTGCTCAAAATGTCCCTGAAAGGGTCCTTAAGTTAGTGTCCCTCTGAAGAAATGTGATATGTGTCCTTCAGGAAGATTCTAAAGACATGATGCTATTTGTGTACAATTTTTTAGATTCTAAATGACATGATACTATTTGAATTCAATCATTTATAGATTTCTGTAAGCAGTTCAGTAACTTCAGATTGCTTAACTTCGTTTGCTTTGGAACTGCTCGTCATGGCAAAATGCTCAGCCAAGACAAATAATTGGCATCTCTTTATATTGGCTTATAATATACACATATAAGATAGCATAAACAAATTAGTCTTAATATCATATTTTCTAGATATCTTTTACAAGGAGTGCTGCTTGGGATGCTATACTCACGGCGCATAACCTGAGGAAGAGGGGATGCATCATTATAACCAGTTTGTATGTGCAAGAAGAATTGAGAAGACACCAATCATTTGCTCCTTCACTCCAACTATGCAACAGAACCTTGGAGTAAGGTGTATTCTTTGTCCAATATCTCTTGGGTACTCCCTAGAACTAATGCAGAAACTAGCATCTTGGAGGATGAAAGTGGGGAGAGACGGGAGGAAAATATGGAGGTTAGCAACCTATACATCTTTTGGTAAATATGAAGAGAATGGAAAAAGGGATGCTTGGGAGAGTTGAAAATCACATGGATGGTCATGAGTTTATTGTATCTATACTGTCGGTGTAAAGAAAGCATTCCATTATGTATAGACAATGGAATGGATTTTTCAAACACCTTCGAAATTGTTGTAACTTCGGCATCACCTTGGTGCTTATTAATGAAATGATTTATTTGATTCATCAAACAAAAAGAAAGAAAAAAGAATTACTGAACCACTTGGCCTGGACGATTATCTTCTTTTAACGAACTGAATTGGCCATATAGAACTGGTCGAATCATTGTGGACTACTTGATGGAAAAGATAATTTATACATGATAAACTTCCTGTTTTGCAAGATTGGGCTGGGGTTATCTAAGGGTACATTGGCAATTATGTCAGGGAAGTTTCTAGAATTTGTCAAGTTCTCCCGGTAGGTCTCTGGAAATTTTCGAATAGATTTTATCTTTTATCTTCTTCTTGCCGCATAGATGTCGACTGGTTGTCTCATAGCTTGGTATAAATGCATATTTCTCTTCTGTTTTTTTAAAATTAAATGAAGTGCTGTCATCCTCTATAACCTTTTATATTTATTTTGGGGGTCTCCTTTGTATTGTCCCTTTTGTTTTCACTGAAAGTTTGGATCATTGGATGTTATCATAGTATCACTAATGCATTTGATTCCACCAGAACTCCAAATCTAAACATTCTTTAGCAAGAGCAGAATATGACTGTTGACCCCTTGAGAAGTTATGTGCTGCATCTTGATTCGAGAATTGAAACAAAAGTTTTCATCTTCAGTAGTTTTGCATTAATCATGTAACTCTGAAAATGTTATATCCTAATATAGTCGGGGATCCATATGTTGGTTGTTGGCAACATATAATTTTGAAGATTGTTATCGGCAACAATCTTACTAAGACAGATGTGTGCTGATTCTTTATGTTATAACTGATCTGGAGTTCTACATGCATTCCATAATGTTGATGTTTTTTTTAGTTGCTGAGTTATATGAAGCTTTCAAGCTTTTTCATTGGTGCAAAGGCATCCATGGAATTTCATTTCAGAATTGCCTTTAATATAATTGATCTCTGTCCAGAATTTAATGGATAAGATTGCCTCAAATCATTGACAGCTTCAAGCTGGTCTTTTCTGTCCTCTTTCATCTTCCTAGTAAAGACAAGAAAAAAGATCTCCTTGTTTCCCTCTCACTTTTATCTACTTTCTTCTTAGTAATAAAGAAGAAGATTCTCTTCAAGTCTTGGCTCAGACCAGAATGGAGTAGCAATAACAATATCCATGGCATATTAAAATTTCCTTGTTTTGCATTCTCCTGTTTTACTTTTATATATGTTGTGTTTTTGTATGGCTAGTAATATCATAAAAGGCAGCATTTTCCCTCCTACTGAGGAAAGAAAGGAGAACTGTTTATCTTGGGAAAGGCTTTTTCTTTCTAGGTTCTAAATAAAATACTTAGACAACTTGATATCTATTAGCTCCTTTTCTTATGAAGTTCCAGTTTTGTCGAGTGGTATCCTGTTCCTGCTTTTTTGTTGAATTAATTTGGAAACCTTGTGTGCATGTTTCTTTTATCGAGTAAAGCAATCTTTGAGTCTTTCGTGAAATGGGATATAATCACCTAGATCTTTTAATTAGCGACTTTTTAGGCTGCACCTGGAGAAGAGACTGGACTGAGAACAAGCGTAGTAGACAAACGGGACTAAGGATAAGTAATGATAAGTAGGGTCATCATTAAACTTTCTACACCTTGAAGACTTCTTTAAGATTTTTACTATAAGTTGGAGTTACATCTTATAGCTTCCTTTTTAACATTAGAATCTCGTGTCATATGACTAATACTAGATATGATCTAGTGTGCCTCAGGATGATTTACAGTATATCAGATCAATTCTCAGAGCTGAAAATGATATTACATCCTTCTTCCGGCCAGAGTTCAGCTTCGGGACTCATTTCTAGAGGTTATCCTGATGATGCTACATCTGCTTCAGCTGATGCTACGTGTACCAACTCTGACTTTACATTTCCAGCTCCTGGTTCAACTCCAACCCAATTTTCTTCTCCAGATTCTCGTGCTTTTCAGCTTATAGTTCAGGATCTGGCAGCAGCTGATATCTCAGGTCAGTATAGTGTCCCTTAGGGTAGCTTGAGCAATTTTACTAGTTCTAAAGTATGGCAACATTTACTGAGATAAAAAAAAAACAAAGAGTAGGGGAACATGCACCAGTTCTCCATGAGCAAAATGACTATGCTGAATTCCAGTTATTCTCATGTGAGGAAGAAGATTCTTTCTCCATATAGCAGAAGTCTCCCTTTTATCCGTAGATATTGATAGATTAGTTGTAGCTACATTCTTCATTTTCTCTTAGTTATTTCTTAAACTGAACCTGCATCAGAAAACTGTATTATACATCCTTTCTTTCTTTTGGTTGGTTGCATTGTGCAGGTTCTGGAAATTGGGAAAATGACCGGGACGGGATATTTGATGACTTCTTCTGATGGAAAATGTTCTTCAATTTGGTATATCTCTATACATGCTAGCCTTAGATGGTTAGCCTATTTGGCTTTTAGCAGGCATCTCAACCAGATCAAACAACCACCTTTGAACAGCAGCATGATCAGGTACAGTTTCTCTCAAACAAAAAATTATTCTGGTATTCTAGTTTCTCCATGAACTACTCTCTTATGTCCAGAACCTATGTGAAATTAAGTGGTAATTTAAGTAAAATGGTCAATATAACGTACACTTGCAAGAGCTGTTTTGCAAGCCTGCTGCTCTCTATGAGTTATAGCCACTCCTTTTGCATGCAGAACTCTTAAACACCCTTTCGTTGTATGGCTCCAACGAATGGTGCTGCCAGGATCAAGTAGGGTAATAAAATTTTGATCCATAGACTTGTTATCACATTGTGTTCTTACCCGAAACAAGTCTCATTTTCTTCTTTGTTTGAACCTTTAGTTTGGTAACTCATAATGAAAATTGTCAATGCACCAAAATCATGTTTATTATTTATATCCTTGAACTACAAAAATGGACATCTTGGAATAGTTGAAATTTCTGGATTTAGTTATGAGAAAACTATTTAACCTTTTCCAATAGGTTGGTGAAAAGCTGACCAACATAGATTCGGAAAAGAAACAGCAGGCTCTGTCAATGGCTCATAGCAATACATGCTGTTTGGATGGCTCCAGATCAATTATTCAGGTAATCCTGGGCAAAATCTTTCTCGTATTTGACTTTAGAATCTTTATCTTTGCTTACTCTTACCCATTATGTGATATTGTTAGAGGTCTGAAGCCAAAACGGTATCATAGTAATTCAAAGGCTTGTAGATTACATCGTCATTCGAGTATTTTGCTAACTTATTCTATCATTTAACTAAGAACTGGAATTTATAATAGGATCAACATAGCACATCACTGAATTCTAGTGTAAATTAAGAGGTCGAGGGAAGACCGCAAAAATCACTTGATAAGAAAATGGAGTACCAGAACTTGTTCATACACTGTATTACACTGCTTCTTGACTGTTCTGAGGACAGATATGGCCATGCTTGCACTATCTACAAGTGCCTTATGCAGTGGCAGCCATTTGAAGTTAAGAGGACTCAAGCTATTGAGGTAGGTACTAAAGTTTGTTAGACTTTTGGATGTCGAAGAATTGATCAGATTTAATAAAAGCTGGTAGCTTTTCATTGTAAAATGTAGTGTTATTAAAGCCCCAAGAAAATGATGATAATATCCTATTGGCTAGCTGATACATCCACTCTGTTGGTGCTGCTCGAACATACATTGCAAGCTGGTGTACTTTTGAATAATAACGTACAGGCAGTCACATTGGCTACTCTATTCCATAGAATGACACGGGTAAAATTTGCTCAAGTTTGAACATTGGTTGTTATATCATTTAGCATATATATAACTCTCTTTGATAACCAAAAAAAAAACTCTGCAGCTATCAGGGAACCCCTCAAGGAGTTAATCTTTCTCCCATCAGTGGATTCAGCTGGCATGCTGAAGGCAAAGATCCAGATTCTCTGTTCGATTAGCAGCTAAGTAGAAAAGATTTATGGACTAATCTGTGATGATTCTGCTTCTGGGGTTCTGCATATCAACATTGTTCAATACGACTATACAAACGTAAAGGAGGACATAAGATGTGAAGTTACCTGATGCATTTTGATGTACTTCAACGACTGATTTAGGCTTCGACATTATCCAAACCAGGCATACTAAACGAGACTGCTAACACACTCACCAATGCTGCTACTCAGGAATTTCAAGTGCTCATTAGCAACATGTCAAGAGCCTTCCTATCTATCTGAACATACTGAAATCCAACCATGTAAGAGGTTCGCTTAATTTATTTTCTTTCCTTTTCTTGTTTCTTGCTTCATAATTACATGCTGATTTGACATTGTAGATTATTTATTGTTTAACTACATTATGAACTTACTAATACATCGTGCCCTGCAATCATTTACTACAATATCATTATCTTCTCTAATGAACTCTTTTTATCTTCACACATAAACTTGCATACTCAGCTCCTTTATGTTGCATTTTTTTCCTTCCCTTTCCCAACTAGAAAAGTTATCTTTCACGCAGGTGGGAGGTAAGCAACATGCTAGTGACAGATTAACATCCTGAAGGCGACCTTTGCCCAATGTGCATCAATATAACGACAATCTTTGAGTCATACGAAATCCTTGTTTATGCATCAAATTCTTTTTCAGGATTGTTGCTGATAAATTGCAAACTGGGGAGAGACCAGATGTGTCAATAAACATATGTCAACCTTGGAATGCTTGTAGACTTGAGAGAGAATACTCTAAGCACAATTTTGCTACAGAAATTTTTTACAATGGTTTTGAGCACACTTTTGTAGCATAATCAAATCAAAAGGTTCAATAAACAATCAATCAGCTACATCTGTATACAAAACTCGTTGATGTCAATTATCATGTGTCTGTTTAGAGGATTTGCCACAAGTTAATTATTTTGCCCTAGCTATCAACCCCTAGGCGGATCTAGGATTTGAAGTTTGTAAGAGGGCAACAAAGGTTAAATTGTTCCTTTTCTTCCATTGGACCAAGTCGTATTTCTATATATTTATTAGATTTTTCAATACTGATACAAATACATTATTCGTGCAAAAGTTATTGATTCCTGTAAATCGTACACAAATTATTCGCCCCGAAACCAACCACATTCATCACCTTTATCTCTAGCTTATGAAAAAAAATGACGTTGTTTGTACCAAATTACAGTTTGGTAGAGTGCAGCAGTTAAGATCTGTCACACTGACAATAACCTCTGTATATGGCAAGACTAGGTCAAAAAATAAACCTTGAACAATACCTTAAAAAGATATTAGTGTCATCATGTCGAGTAAAAAGAAATGCTACAAACATCATGTTAAATTAATATGTTGTTCACCAACTATACAAACAATTACATTCTAAATAACTTGATCATATAAGTGGGGTTTGAAAAGGGTAGTATAGGATGTAAACCATTCTCCTAGAGTAATAGAATTGAGAATCGAGAGGTTATTTTTGATAGATTTTTGACTCAAAAAAAATGTCATTGGAAAACTAAGAACCACGACTTTATTCTTTTGGTTTTGTTGTCTTGTTTTTTCATTCTTTTCAACTACTACAATTCTTTTTTTCAAGAGAAGACACATCATACGATGAAATGTTAATCCACAAACTTCAGACACAAATATATATAGGACCAAGTCAAAGCGTTTAAATTCAGATGAATAAGAACAAAGAGCTTCGACCTAATTCAATCAATAGAGTAACATATTCTTACGTATTTAAGTGTCGTTTATACGATAAATTTTTCGAATTTCCAACTAAAAGGTTTTATAACAAACTAACTATTGGAATACACATCCTTGATTTGAAATAATATATGATTATAATTAAAGTCATAATCATTGGCTAAGAATAGATATCATATTTTGTTTAGGCACTTGCTAATTATGAATAATATAATGTTCATAAACAATCCTGGCCTGCAAGAGATTTGGGTTTGGGGGCATCTAAGAGCATGTCATATAATCATATCATGAGATTACACTGAATATATTGTTACGTTATTTTTCAGAAAGCAGCCAGTACCAATAGTTAAACAAGTACTCTGAGGAAAATTATTTGAATAATTTAAAGGGTGTTTGTATTTGTTTATATTTAACCTATATATATATATATATATATATATTATATTATATTGTTAATAAGAAAATGAAACGCATATTAAAAGACAAAAAGAAAACTAAAAAAAAAAAGCTGTAACATTTGATCAAGTCGTTTTACAGTCTCTCTTGGTCATGGAGGAAGCTTCCTGTCTCTTACTATAACTTAAATTAGTGTTTACCAGACCATATAATTATTCTTTTACACTACTAATATTTGCTATAATTTGTAATTATATATAACATCTTACTTTCAAGCTATTACTCTCAATATTAATTAACTTCATGGATGTTGACAATGTCAAAAAAATTTCAACTCAATAAAATAATTATATCGTATAAATTATTAACCGAAAATAAGTAGGTTACTAATTGTAACAAGTTAAAATGCATCGATAGGTAACATAATATAGAAAATTGTCATCATGAATGTCTATAAGTAAAATTTACATATTATATATATTAGTCTTTACTAAACGGCCGGCGTGGAATTACAAATTAGCTATAGTATGACTTCTCTCGTCTAAATGATTTTAATACCTTAAATATTTTGTATCATATACTTCCCCAATAACACCATCGCCGACATATGCGGCGTAATTTCACAAATAGAGTTTAAAGTTTATAAAACAAACATAGATCTTACCCTTACTTTTACAAGGTAAAGAGATTGTATTCCCGACTCATATACATGATCCCCATCTTCCATATAATTTCTTTACACTCAATATTCCAAAGTCAATATATATGAGATCAAACAACATCGATGATCTACACATATAATTAAGCTTGATTTAACTAATGGAGTCCTCTAATCAACATGATTACTCGTTAAACTCATCGATCGATCAACAAGTTGGCCAGCAAGAGGTAGAACAAGAACAAGAGTACTACATGGGAGGTGTTGGCAAATCTTATGAGTGTGTGTATTGCAAAGGAGGATTCAACACAGCTCAAGCTTTAGGTGGTCATATGAATATTCATAGGAAAGACAAATTATCCAGTAGCAGGAACAAACCTAATACTACTACTCACAATTTGCTCACCTCCACTACTACTAATAAGCATGAAACCCACCACAACTTATCATCAGGTATAAGATTTAAACATTTTCCTTCAAATATATGGATTCAAGCAAGTATTATTTAATTTGTGTCGTATTAGGGTTTTTTCTCCCTCTCTCTCACACACAAACATACAATTAGCATCGAATTTCGTGTGTAGGGGTGAAATCCGGAGATCTACGAAGGAACGTCAATAGAAATGTATATATAGAGTAATTATTGACCTGTAAATATATTTATAATTTTCTGATGAAGAGTGTTTAGTTGATACAATTTTATATGTGTGTATATATTAAGATTCAACCCTAAAAGTTCTTAGTACCGAACATACTATACTTTTCTAAGTTATTATTCAAAAATCAAGTATCTATATATATATATATATATATATATACTTGTT